CAAAGAAGCTTTGGTACAATTTAACATTTCAGTTGACGGCCTTGTGTCACAATCCTTCGATGGGGCAAGCGTGATGTCAGGCGACTACGGCGGCTTGCAGAGGTTAATTAGTAATTTTTGCGATCGGAATGTGTTATATGTACACTGCTTTCTCCACAAAATCCACCTGGTTGTCAGCTTTCTCATGCAAAATCTTGACGAAGTAAAGGAATATTTTGATACTACAGCAGCCCTGTACAAGTTCTTTAAGAAGTCAGCTGTGTTAGAATCGTATAACGGCACTGCATTGAAACGGCTTATTGAGACGCGATGGTCTGGTCACTTTGAAAGTACCAGCCATGTGCACAAAAATTATGGCGATTTGATCCAAGCGCTTATGGTGGCATCAAAAAATAAGAAGTTATCTGGTGAAGATCGAGCACAGGCAACAGGGCTCCTTAGCCTAATGGAAGATAATGAAGACCACGTGTTTGTCTTCATAACTTGTATGTTGATGGATGTGTTGAAACCTATTGATATTGTTGTTAAACAATTACAATCCCCGGACGAAAATCTTATTTCAGCATTGCACGTGGTCAACGCCGTCAAAGACGACATCAAATCGAAACGCGAAAATAATACTTCGAATGAGAAAGTTAAAAAGATGGTTGATGATTTCTTAGAAAGTGTGAGGATCACGTCAACCGACGGCGTGCAAGTGCAACGCAGACCTACAAGAAATACTGCTGTTCCCTCTCGTTTTGATGATTTTTTAATAACTGACCGTATCCCGAGCGCAAACAACAGTCGCACCAACTGTCAAATTTTTGTCGAGTGCTTAGATTTGCTGGATGCGGAATTCCTCCGAAGATTTTCTGAAGAAAACATCGCACTATGGGAAGCCATGCTGGCCTTATCGCCGTCGTCAGATAATTATCTTGACTATGATGCTCTCATACCCTTATTTGAGTACGCGGTGAATATTCCAGTGATAAGAGATTTCTATCAAAAAGAAAAATTATCACGCGAAGATTTAGAAGCTGAGTGCCGAATTTTTTCTCGTGTTTTTAAAGACAAAGAATGGCCCAAGAATGCAGCTGACAAAGTTGATTTGAGCGAGGTCGCTAACATTGTCATAAAGGAACACCAGAAGGGAGCTCCTGTACTATCTTCGTTGTACAAAGTAGCTATCACTGCTGGTTTCACATCAACGAGGGTTGAATGTGTTTTTTCATCCCTTACAAGAGTTGATTCCCCTCAGCGGAGGTCGATGAAAACAGAAAGAGAAGCAAATCTAGCTTATCTAAGTTTTGAAAGCGAAGTTCTGATAAATGACATTACCTTTGACGATTTTTACAAAGCTTGGAACTTGAAACCAAGAGCATTGTCGTTGTAATTTGACAGGTCGTGCATGTTTTGCATTATGATAGCACTTAACTGATTGATATTATCAATAAATGAGGCTATTGTATATTGTTATTATTGTCGTGTGTATTTTTTGTGAACACTTCACTTTCAACAGTTTGTTTTTACTTATTCCCAGTTTGCCATTATCTATACGGTCCCCTTGTTTCGGCAGAAGCTCAAACATTTTTATGATGTACAGTACCTACGTACAAGTGAGAGTCCCTCGAGATCGCACCACCCGTTCGGCAAAATTCCATTCCCACTTTATCGTTTCTGTTTGGGGAGTGCCCCCCCAAACAATCAGAGCCAGCTCCGGGCCTGTCCGCAAGAGAAACAATCGTTTGTAGAACTACAATAATTCGACAAAGACCATCCAGAAACGAAACAAACGTCGCCAAGAAATGCAATTATAGGATTTATAGGAGTGAACAGAGCGGCAGAATGTTAAATTTCTTTATAGATTCTGGAAAAAACGTTCCTTAGGTTTAACCGTTAAAAAAATAACCTTCACGCCTCACGAAACCCCTTTTGTTGTTGTTTTGAATGCTTAGCCTTGGGGTACATTTTCTGGAAGTTTTGGACATTAACTAAAAAAATAACATCTAATTTGATCGATGGACTTTGATATTTCTTGTCATTACTTGCCAATATTTTAGTGCATCCATTCCTCCATCGCATTAATAATGACGGTGTCCCAGGAATCCTCCCCCCCCCACAATCGCCCCACACATCGCCCTCCCCCAGGGGGGCGAAATTCCTAGTAATATCGCCCTCCTGGGGGGCGAAATTCCTAGGGAACTCGCCCCCCTTTAGAAACTTCACCTTTTCTTTAGGATTTTCGTCCTCCGTTCAAAATTTCGCACTTCCTAACATTTGCACTGATAATTATTACATGGCTTTAGTCATTTGAAATCAGTATCAATTCAAAATTGTTAAAAATACAAATTTACAATTACATGTATCGAAAGGGCTTACAGTAGGACCATGGTCCCTTATCCTATATCTCATAAGCACGATCGTATAAATATACCAAAATCCGTTGGTCCTGGCCGTGCACATGAGGATATTGGATTTTGGTACATATATGGGCGTGTTTATGAGAATCCCTTACTGTGGACTGGTATCTCATATAAAGCACGCTCATATATATACAAATATTCAGTGATACTGGCCGCACTCATGAGCATACTGGATTTTGATGCAAAAATAGGCGTGCTTATGAGAATCCCCTATTGTGGTACCTGACAAGCACGATCATATATATACCAAAATCCGTTGGTACTGGCCGTGCACATGAGCATACTGGATTTTGGTACATATATGGGCGTGTTTATGAGAATCCCTTACTGTGGTATCTCATATAAAGCACGCTCATATATATACAAATATTCAGTGATACTGGCCGCACTCATGAGCATACTGGATTTTGGTGCAAAAATAGGCGTGCTTATGAGAATCCCCTATTGTGGTACCTGACAAGCACGATCATATATATACCAAAATCCGTTGGTACTGGCCGTGCACATGAGCATACTGGATTTTGGTACATATATGGGCGTGTTTATGAGAATCCCTTACTGTGGTATCTCATATAAAGCACGCTCATATATATACAAATATTCAGTGATACTGGCCGCACTCATGAGCATACTGGATTTTGGTGCAAAAATAGGCGTGCTTATGAGAATCCCCTATTGTGGTACCTGACAAGCACGATCATATATATACCAAAATCCGTTGGTACTGGCCGTGCACATGAGCATACTGGATTTTGGTACATATATGGGCGTGTTTATGAGAATCCCTTACTGTGGTATCTCATATAAAGCACGCTCATATATATACAAATATTCAGTGATACTGGCCGCACTCATGAGCATACTGGATTTTGGTGCAAAAATAGGCGTGCTTATGAGAATCCCCTATTGTGGTACCTGACAAGCACGATCATATATATACCAAAATCCGTTGGTACTGGCCGTGCACATGAGCATACTGGATTTTGGTACATATATGGGCGTGTTTATGAGAATCCCTTACTGTGGTATCTCATATAAAGCACGCTCATATATATACAAATATTCAGTGATACTGGCCGCACTCATGAGCATACTGGATTTTGGTGCAAAAATAGGCGTGCTTATGAGAATCCCCTATTGTGGTACCTGACAAGCACGATCATATATATACCAAAATCCGTTGGTACTGGCCGTGCACATGAGCATATTGGCGACCAGTACCAGACTGATACAAACAAGCAATCGTCTTCGTTCACTAGACCACAAGCAGTATTACACGAATTGGCTTTGAATGGTTCCCAATCAATGATCAAACAAAGTGTCTTTTTGAAGAACATTGTCCAATCTGCCTTCTTCTCATTTTCGCAAGCAATTTCTGATCGATTCAAAGAAGTTGCGGAATTAACATAAAATGCGATGATTCCTAAATCCAGCACAAGGTTTTCGCCAGCAGATTTTCTTTGAATAGCTAACCGGCTAACATTCGTCGACATTGTGGTATACCGCTCTGTTATAACACTTGGGAAATGGGTTTGAACATAGCGCTGTTCTGCAAGGATTAAAACGTTGCTAATTCCTTGACCGCGGTATTTGGGGTGAACTCGCAAACTTTGGCTTACTACCGTATTTCCCCCGTCGACAATATGAAAAGCTCGTAATCCTATAACCGCCCCTCCCTTTTCGGCGACTATGACTCTTCGATTCGGTTCGTCAAGCCATTGTAAAAAGAGTCGTGTCCTCCGTAGATGCCTTTGATAGTTCGATGATGGATGCTAAGTCGGTTTTTCAGCTGCAAGGCGAATTTGAATGTCCATGATTTCGAGGGATTTATGTTCGAGGATGTTTGAAAAAAATGCCGACTAGGTTGTGCACTTGGGGATATAAATATAACTGTATAAAATAATGTTCATTATATATGTTATGTGGTGTGAATGCAGGTGTATGGAGACGAGCTGGTCTCAATTAATTTCTGCCGACTTGACACATTTGCACCATAAATTCACTGTAGTTGTTGTATCAAAACGTGAACAATTTATACCGAAAATATGAATTGTCAACAATTTATACCGAAAATATGAATTTCTTCTTTCTTACTTGCAACGTAGCGTACTCCAATTGTTTTGCAATGAGCTAAACCTAGTAACTAAATTGAGCTACCATGTAACTTAAAATGAGCTAAACCTAGTACGTGGACGTGACAAAAAGACAGTTACTTATGCTTTTCTGTTGGATTTGTTACCAGTTTAAATGTGTTTTTTACCTTCTCTGTTGACAAAAATAGTCTATATTGCTGACACTGCGAATTTAGGGTGTGTTTTTTGGCACGTCCGCGTACTAGATTTAACACATCTTAATTAAACCGGTGTCCCGGTTGATTTGGACCCCCGGGGGTCCATATCTACTAATAAATATGGACCCCGTTGGCGGATTTGGACCCCCCCCCCATCAAAAGTTAAATATATGTAAATATATAAGGCCACATAAAAAAATTAATTACTTGTTTAGCGTCCCCGCCTGACTTGATAAAAGTCCTCGACCTCCAATTTTTTTTTTCAAAATCCGTCCGAGTTTAGTGCAAAAACTTTCTATAAAAAAGACCGTTTTACTTGGAAAAAATGGTGATTTTATTCTTCCGGGATCGAGTATGTAATACGTTTACACAAAGTATTTCCTTCCCAGATATGCCTGTTCGCAGGTAAAGTGTTCGCGCGTGACCGCCAAACGGTAATTTTCTGTTTTATTAAAAACATGAACAGTATTAAAAAACATGAACGGATATGAAAGAGTTAAAGTGAGTTTTGACTGTGGTAATATACAGGATTTCCTGCATTTAGCAGAATTTTGTGTTGCATTTTACGAAAAAAAAAAAAAAAACCCCGCCCGCCCGACCTAGAAAAATTAAAATGGGTGGACGCTAAACAAGTAATTTTTTTATGTGGCCTAATGTGAATACAATAATATAAAGCCAATTCGGAGCGATTGCAGAATACCCGTCGTCCACTTTTGAAGACCCGCTAGAACTATCGGTGGCTACGTGGCTACGCAGTGAGTTTTTGAAAGAACGAGGCAATTGATATAATGACGTAATTGTAAGGAAGGTATTTTTTAGTGTCTACGTGGCTACGCAGTGAGTTTTTAAAAGAACGAGACATTGATATAATGACGTAATGGGAAGGAAGGTATATTTTTTAGTGGCTACGCAGTGAGTTTTTAAAAGAACGAGACATTGATATAATGACGTAATGGGAAGGTATTTTTTTTTAGTGGCCACGTGGCTATGCAGTGGTATAATTTGGTGTAAAATTACCAAAAGAGAGGTATTTCCGTTATATTCCTTGATATTGTAATTTGATAGCGCGTGACTGCGTAGCCGCGTAGCCACTGAAAATGTAGCTACGCAGTGAAAAATGACTAGTGGACGGGTATTCTACAATTTAGCCAAGTGATGGTGACTCATCTAAACGAAAGCCTTTTTTATCTATTCTGGTCATATAAACGTCATATTACGTATAGCTACATGAGTTTTTAGTGTGTTTATTTATCCTTTTATAGTTGTATAGTTACTTTCCATTTGGACCTTTCTACTTTATTTGTAGTTTAAGATTGTTGAATTTGCATCTCACTGGCAATAAAAAAACCCAATGTTTTCTATTCACAATAAATGACTGTGTGGTTGATAAGTAGCTCCGGGTATCTGAAAACTAATGAATTTAACATATTCACCGTTATTGGGGTTGTTTTTAGTAATATATATAAAAGTGTTTAAAAAGGGGGTTCATATCCGCTAAATGGGGTCCATAAGATCATAACCACTAGGAGATTTGGACCGGGGATCCATATCTACTAGGAGATTTGAACCCCCCCTGGTCCAAATCTACTGGGGGGTCCAAATCCACTGTGACACCAGAATACAAATAAGCTAGCCTACAATCAGTTTAAAATTGAGTTATATAAAAATTTAAAGAAAGTTCATATTTTAGTTTTTCTAGTTGACCACAAACATGGTTCCAATATGCTCTACCTGTATTTAGAATATTCATGCCTGAAGTATTTGTATCGTTGGCACTCTTAATAAAAATCAGATCAGTGATATGTTGGTGAAAATTAGGAGGATCTTCCATTGTTAAATGAGGAAAGAATGTCACAGTGTTCATGTGATCTTCAGGTTTAACAGGAATCTGGACTGTTGCAGGGTACACAATGTAGACCTAGAAGAAAAACAATGATGCACATTATTGATGGTGCACCACTGCCAGGAAATTTTCAACAAAATATCTTCACAGGAAATTTTGACTTGCTGGAATTTTTGTCATGCTATATATTGGAATCCCATATAATTTCCAATCAAGGTTATCATGAGTCAACATTGAAGTTTGCCCGCATATGTGGTACTGCTCATTTTTTGAAATCTACATGTGCAGGAAGTTTTACATTTGGTTCACAAATGTTTTCTCCCATACTGCTGGAAACTGCTGCAGCATCAGCTGCACACTTGATATTTATTTTTCACACAATACTCGCTTTGCTATCTGTACAAATATACTTTACATAACCTAGCTAACCTGTATTTTATAGCTTTTCGTAATATTTATTTAACAAAGGGTGGGCAGATGGGATTTATGTAAAGCTACGGTGAGCAACAACAAAAATGTGCTCATCTAACGTGCACCACCCAATTTCTATCAGGTCCCAAGCAGTGTGTGAGAAAACATTTTCAGCTTCTTTTGTACCTCAGCCAGTGGAAAATACCACTTATTTTGGATTTTGCTGACACAAAGGCATTTTTCTGCCAGAAAGATGCCTGTTTTTTGAGAAGTATTTTTCAACATACATGTATGAATTAACCTCTGTCAATAGTACATCCTTACCACATTTCTATTTTTAACACAGTAATCTGACTTTAATTTTGACATTGTTTGATCAAATGTTTCTTGAGAACTGCCAGCAAGATCATGGATATAAAGTTTGTGTCCATTGATAGGCACTTTGTTTGGCCAAGCGAGGAGATGCGTAGGAGGCATGTATGTATGGAAATATACCACATGGTGGCAATAAGATTCTGTTGAACTCTGCACTTTTTGATTAATTACTTTATGGAGGTGAAGTAATGATGGCACAACACCACCTTGATGTAGAACACCAAAGAATATGCAACCAATCACATTCCAAATAGACCATGACATAAGTATTGTGGGAGAGTATTTTAAACCCACTACTTTAGATGAAAATAACAGTACTAACGGAAGTATAACAGGCATCATAAACCGAGGTTCTTGATGTGGTATAAATGAAAGGATCAATACTGGAACAAAAACACAGAGAACCAAGGATACTTTATATGGCTTTTTGTCACCCAGATCAACTTGGTTTTTCGTTTCAAGCTGGTTGGAACCACAAAATCTGCTTAACAACAATGACCCGAGTTTAAAGTAGAATAGAAATGCTATTGGTCCAAATAATAATGGTATATTGACGAGAAAATGAGTGAAGAAAGGATGGTGTCCATGAGTGTGAGATTGTAACGAGTTATATTTTATAAAATTCCATGATGTAAGAACAATTTTGCCATGTTCTAAATAGCCAAAGTACCAAGAATCCAGTAAAACAAAAACTACTGTAGTAATAAGAAATCCAAGTGCCATAAACATCAATCTGTCCACAATTTGGAGCATGTGCGTTTGTCTTTTTACCTGACATATAAGATATCCAAGGTAAGGAACCAATGCAAACACAAGAAATGTTTGTCGGCAAAAAACACCCAAAGAAGTTAAACTACCAATCAGGATGCATTTATAAATTGGCATAACTTCAAGCATAGAACGTGAGAGCTGCATATTATCAGGGTGTGTGAACAGCACAAGTAATATGCCAAAAATACCAGTTTCCAATGTGTTTGAGAATGGCCTTGTTGCAAATACATGTGTCACATATGAAGTAGACAATACAAACAGACAATAAAATGGCTTCAGTTTCAATCTTTGACTAATAATATAAACAGGAATGTCAAATGATAATATAGAGATGAATGTAATATAAATTCTTGGAAATATCAAAAATAAATAAGGAGGAAGATCAACAAATTTGGATAATAATTTGAGGATCAAAAATGGAATTCCTGAAGTTAGAAATGCTGATATTGGGCTTCTGACTGGAAATGCTTCATTCCACTCCCAAGTTATTGTAGAATTTATTTGAAGAATGTCCCTGGCCATAATTTCTGAGGACTGGAAGAATTCATCTGGATACAAGTAGCCATTTTGGACAAAACATGAAAATAAAAAACGGAGTATCACTAACACAAAGTAAGCAGCACGTAGAGATTCATCTTTTTCGTACCAGCTTGTTATTTCCATTGATAAAAAATGAAGGATTTTACAAGAAATACTATGAAAAGCGTCCTTCTCCAGCTCTTACTGTTTCTTGAACTTTCATCAGGCATTCGGGCAACATTGCAGGCAATGTCAGGGAATATGTCAGGGTTATCATGGGATACACCGGGACATTATGCAAGAAAGTGAGCAAAGTAGCAAACACAACGTCGGTGTCGATGGAATATGGCGGCTGTTCTCATTCCTCCAGCAAGTTTAAAAAGTTGGGAAAAAGGAAAAGCAACGATGTAAGATTAAGATTTTGTCCACTAGAATACAAAATCGAAGAAAACACTGTTAAATATCGTTATGTGTGTGTTTCTATAGATTAAAACTTTGTGAAACGTTCGTGGCGAATGGGACGACAGCTGAGGCACATGGATCAGACGCGGAGTCAAGTGAGTTTAATTGTCGTTCTTTCTTGAATCATTGTGCGTGTTTTACAGCGTATAATGCTGGTTTATTTGTAGATTATACACAATTATTTTGTGAACTTATATCAAACGTGGTTAGTGGTCAGATTGGACATGATGAAGTCGTTCAACTACTGGCAGAAAATATAATTGTGGTATGTGAATATTTGTAATTAAGTGTTAAAAATTAGAATTTAAGTCTCGATTTTATAATAAGTAGATGGTGTGCCGCTAAAATCCTGTTTCTTTCTGGTTATTTTTAATCTATGTTGATTACCAATTTGCGGATATGACTGCTGCTCCGACTACTTATCAGTCGGCCGTTCCCATAATTATTTGACTTATGGTAGTTGGTCTTGGTCTAGTTTTTTTCAACATTTGTGATCGTCTGTGACTTGCGTAGCCTGTATCAGTGGTACTAGTAGGCATGAGGAAGTCAGGCAATGAGAAATATATCCTGCCCAGAAACTAACTTTTGAATTTTGACCACCAATTACAGTGATGGATTTATGGGAGGGGGATGCACCCCTGTTTATGAAGGGGGCAAAACCATTTTTTCACCCACACCACCTTGGTCAACAGGAGTGCAAGGGGGTGGGGCTGCAAAAAATGTAATTTACTTACTTTTAAATGTTTGAGGTATTCAAAGTCTGTTATCATTCTGAAAAGTTTGGGAATTCAAGGCAGCACCAGAGCACTAATAAGCCCAATATTAATAATTAATTTAGTTTGACACTTTGATTGAATGAAGCAAATTTTTAATTTTGCTGCAAACGTCTAACATAAGTATTTGATAATGAAAATATAAATTAGAAAAGCATTGAAGTGTGAAAAAATTTCCATTTTCACACAATGACAGTATTATTTATATTTTATATAATTATTAAATTACATTTATTATTTAATATATCTGTAGATTGTAACCAAGAAAAATAATACTTACAATTATTTACCCCCATAAAAAACCCTAAAAAATAGGTATGCTTGGCATACATCTGCGAGAAAGCCGCCATATTTGTTTTACTGTTTTGAAATAACAGTTTGTGATTCGTGAATCACAAACAATTTTCATTTTTCACAAACTCGATTTCATAAAAATTGATCAAAATCACGAATCAAAAGTCTCTGAAATAAAAAATATACAATTATAACAAATTCAGTTCTTTGTAAATGTGATGAAGGATCATATATTTTGAAGATATTGTTGTTAGATTGTACTTTAAAACGATTATAATTCCACCCAAATTCTATTTCTTTGCGAGTGTTTGCGACATGGTTTTTTGCGATTTATATATTTGAAAATTGCAGTGCTTCCACTTTTTAACTTCCAATTAGTGAAAATTCCTTAAAATTGCCTTAAAACAAAAAAATTAATTCACGAACCATTTTTTTCAGAATTAATTCGAACCCTGGCCTGTTTGCAAGCGTACAGCCCTAATTAGTCAACCTGAGTGTTTAAATCTAGAGCTACGCGCAGATACAAAAACCTTAGTGGATCCACCACTGACCAATTATGTTTTTAAGAGAACCAATCAGAACAATCAGGCTAATAATGATGCTGTCAATGTTTTGAGCAGTTTCAAAATATGGCAAAAGATGTGAATATTGTTCTGTATTAACAAACAACGTTAAAAACCTGTGCTCATTCTGTATTTTTCACATTTCAGGATGACGAAGAAAGGAGATCAATCCTGGCTGATGTCATTTCCATCATGGGTGCGAAAGAATTGTTCCTGTTTACAATACATTATTCCCTTTTGTATTTTATGAAATTTTCAATAATAGTTAAAATGGTAATGTAGAATTCAGTTTCTTTAAGTGCTAGTATGTTCCTCTTGCTATCTATCCTGCTCAACAGATGTCGATTCGACGTTCAGTGGAAAATCAGAACAAGATCGCTTCACAACATTTGTTTCTGCCCTGGTGGTAAGTTGCCAATTTATAGACATTAACTTGGAAGCTATAGTGGAAAGATTTGAAAATTCTGATGTTTATTAACTCAGTTTTAATGAACGTTTCCCAGCCTTGTTGCAGAAACAAATTTGGTCCACAGAGAGCAAATAATACATGTGATTATTATTTATGGAGATGATAATTGTTTAAATTTCATATTAGAATATGGCTGTTGTTTCCGGTGATCTCCTGAAAGAAAGAATTGATGTGGAAACTTTGGATTCACTTGGATTGATACAGTCTACCAAAGGATTCAACTCAAAATTTGTCAAAATTAAGACCAAACTTTTGTAAGTACAGTACATGTATTTTAAACAAGAAAGTGATATTTAGAGCTATTTACAAAATATATAAGTTTTAAAAGATATAGAGAATTAAAATAGTAACATATTAATGAGTATTAAAATAGTAACATTAATGTATTTGGAATATGAGAAAGTCGGTAGGCTATTTACAGGTACATTATAATATTTACAATACTAAATTACTCAATGTGAGCAGCGATTTCATTTCGAAAGGAAGAAAGAGGTTTGCTCTGTCATACATAATAGTATTTTTCATGTTATTAGTACAAGGTTTTGGTCAATAAAGACCACTTGAAATGTCCAAAAGGTCATAGTTTGTTTTCTCACATTTATATGAAAATAGATTTGTGAGTGATTTGGGACCCATTTTATTTCATACTTATGCATCATTTTTGCTTTAGCCTTCCTTTCTATTTTGAGTGGTTCCCAACCCAACCCAATTCATGCAAAACAATAGAATGATTTACATTTTTGCAGTTAATAGCGGTATATATGGAAATAAATGTTTCTTTGTCAACAAAAGGTTTGACTCGATGAATAGCAGAGATTCCCGAAGTTATTTTTTGCAAATATTTTCAGTATTACTTTTCCAAGATAAATGCTGGTCAACTGTTACTCCAAGAGTTTTGCATTCATAAACTTGTTTAATTTGTTTATTTTCAATGAAAACATTTGGATGAGAGATTGAGAGTCAGAGATCTTTTTTATCATTGGTTTTGAACCAATTAACATGAATTCAGTTTTGGCTACATTAAGGCTAAGTTTATTGGCAATTCTTGGGTTTCACTACGGCATTATGCAGTGAATCTGACGGGGGTCAACCTCAAAAGTACTGATGCTTATGCTGTACTGGAGTGAGAAAATGATACGAAATTCCATGTATTTGCCACCAAACACAAGGGTAATACATAAAACAAACAATCGACTCACTCTAATAACTCTGTTTTGTTGACCCCCGTGATGTCATATGAAACCCAAGAATTGAGCATTTGAATTTCGGGGGGTGGGGTGTATGTGCACATTTCTGTATGTGGGGTGAGGGGGTGCAAAATATTTTGGGGATGCACACCCACCTTCACCCCCAGAAAATCTGCTCATGCGTGTTAGCATAGACGGATTTTCATATTTATTACTGGGGTGGTGCCAGAAATTTTAGGGGGGTGAGCTATGAGCAGGTGACTGAAGCAACACAAAGTGTCACCAAACCCCAGTAAGGTCTATATTCTAGGGGTGGAGCACTAGAGCCGAGGGGTGAGAGAGCAGAAAACAAAGTATCCCAGGAAAACTTTGAAAAAAAATCATGATTTCTAGCTTCAGTTGTCAATTTGTCATATCAATGGATTTGGCATGTCTGATTGTCTGTTGAGACTTGAGAGAGTTAAAGACTTAAAGTTAAAATGAACCTGTAAAAGTGTAAACCCAATAAGCCAATACACAATATGCTTTTACTTTTATAAAGTCATTGACATTGTGTTGTTTGAATCAGAGTACAATTTATGATGCAACTCCGATGTAAATAATATTTGCGGCGTAAAGATTAAATCTAAGCAAGTCTATTTCCTAAAAGAATTAAAAACTAAAAATAATGTTTGTAAAAATTCCAAACGTTCCTTGCGTGCAAGCTATTCGCATGACAAGGCACTGCAAACTCTATTCAGGGAAGATAATAGAGTTTCAAAACTTTACAATTGCTCCAATAAACCAGTGAATGCAAGCGAGGAGCGATTAGTTTCAGAGTATTGCACTGTCTTTTTCTATTTGAGTGTACTCCTACGTTTATTTTGTATCATCAACACTCTGCACGTTGGAGTGGATTATTTAATTATTTTTTATTATGCCGAATATTGGGGGGGTTGAAAATTTTTTTGGAGGGGTGGACATTTTGTTTGGGGGGTTATAGCTAATATTGGGGGGGTTAGCACCCCCCCCCCCCCAGAAAATCCGTCTATGCGTGTTAGAATTTTTTTATATAAACATATTTATTTAATCTTAGGGTTTACCCCAGAGTGCAAAAACACTCATCGAGGGGCTCACACTACATTCAACAATACAAATAATTAAATAAATACACAACATGAGAAGACAAACTTTAAATGGAACAACAACAAGTGATCAAAGCTGGTTCAACTGAAGAACTGAAATATGTTAATCTTTAATAGAAAAACGATTAGTTTGCTTAATATATTCAATATTTCTGAACATGCATATATATACATCTACTGTATTATTCTTTGTACTCAAGTCAATTGAACCAAATAAGAATGATTTCAATTTTTGTATATCCGACAAGAGATACCAGCCATCACCATAAACTTGAGCAGCAGCCGAGAGTAAGGATTATCTAAGTGTTGAGATTACCTGCTTATCTGCATTTTAGAATGAGACTGCCTGCTTACAGTATACTGGAGGAACTGCTT